TCTTGGGCCCACATGCACACGCGCTTGGCACAAGTTTAACGCGATCAGCAGGCCGGCCAGGCGGCTCAGTGTGCCGGCTCCTGACTTCTCAGGTTCCTGGGTCCTGGCCGTCCTCTCCCCGCAGTCCGCCTCCTGCGTTCCGTTGTCCGCCGCAGCCAGTCATGCTAGAGCATCTGAGCTCGCTGCCCACGCAGATGGTGAGGGCGCCACCCGGGGATCTCGGCGCTCCGCTCGTGACCTGGCAGCTGCGAAGCCCTAGGAGCACCGACGTGGTGCTGCGAGGTTCCTGGCCCGGATGGTTCCTGCCCATCCTCTTTCCTGAATCGTTCATCCTGGGTCCTCTTCTCTTTCTCCGCTCCGTTAGGATGCTTCAATTCCCCGGAAACCCAGAATTTGGTTCTTTGCCCAGGCCTTTGGGGGAGCCCCCGGTGTTGGTGTTGCCCCGTGCCAAAGCTGTGGAGTCAGCAGCAATCGACCTTCTTGGTAGTGGAACCAAAGTAAATTTTTTTTTGCCTTTTTTCTTACTCCTAGGACTACAAGGGCCAGAAGCTAGCTGAACAGATGTTTCAGGGAATTATTCTTTTTTCTGCAGTAAGTACTGGCTTTACATTTAATCTTTTTTCTTTTCTAACCCCACCTTGAGTGTGTTTAATATACTTTGTCTCTAGATAGTTGGATTTATCTACGGGTACGTGGCTGAGCAGTTCGGGTGGACCGTCTATATAGTTATGGCTGGATTTGCTTTTTCGTGTTTGGTAAGAAATCTGCAGGCGTATGGGTGTTTGGGTGTTTAGTGGCAACCTTAGGCTGAGTTGGGCTGGTTTATCTGGACCTAGCAGTGAGAACCAGAGCAAACGCCACCCTCATCCTTCCCATCAGTATTTCTCTTTGCCCTCACTGGAAAAGTCTTAAGTGTCAGATGGCATGAACTGCTTATTTACTCTGGCAGCTACTCCAAGCAAGCCTTCAGGTCATAGCTAGAAGGAATGTCTCAGAATGCTCACGTTCCCACCCCCAGCCCACCTACCCCTTTTCCCGTTATTATTCACAAAGCCTATGTGTGAACAGTACTGCTTGTTCCCATCATCTTACAGTATCTTGGGCAGTGGCAGGGAGCCTTCATAGGAATAGCCTTTTATTTTTTTAAGAGTCATTTGAGAACCAGGCCCTATACCTTAGGCTCTGTTAACTTTTAATGGTTATATTGATGCACTTTTCTCTGTTCTGGCCCAGCTGACACTTCCTCCATGGCCCATCTATCGGCGACATCCCCTCAAGTGGTTACCTGTTCAAGACTCAGGCACAGAAGACAAGAAACCAGGGGACAGAAAAATTAAGAGGCATGCTAAAAATAACTGATTGAGATTTTCACCTGCTTTTATTTTCCGTGACACAAGCTAAACCGCTTTCATACCCAAAACGAGCTAAAAACCACCTACATTTTGGCACAGCTGTGTGTACATTTAGTTCTCTTTATAATTTCATTTCTAAACCAGTTGGGATTTGATTTTAAAATATTTTAGACCTTTTCTTCATTATCTTGTTCTGAAATGGAGAACAGAAAACACAAGTATGCAAATGTCCTTTCAGGTATACATAATGAAGAATAAATGCCTCATAAATACAATTTAACTGTCCAAGTTTTATAATTCATGAGTCATTAAACCCCTTTAATTCTCCAATTAAAACTCATAGTGCAAGTCTGTTTTAAGGATCTTTTCTTCATTGTTCTACAATCAAGACTCTTAGTAAAAGCCTAAGTTAAAAGTGTGTGGTTATAAAAGTATCAGTAAGCACATTTTATTTTCTGTAGTTGCAAGTGCTTATTTTTCTTTACAAATAGGACTTTTGGGAGCCAGCAGGTGGCATAGTGGTTAAGGTGTTGGACTCTCACATGGTTGACTGCAGTTCAAGTCCCAGACCCTGCAGTTTGAAACTCCTACGAGGCTGCAGCTCAAAATCCCAAGAAGAGAATGGAGAAGGGATTGCAGCATGGCCATCTGCTCAGGGGATGATTTCTCTCCCATGAACACACATGCCCTGTAGCAAAAATCTTTAAAAAAAAATATATATGTGTGTGTGTGTGTATTGTGGAGAGTAGCCAGTCTGAAAATGTGATGTAGAAGAAAAAGATACCAGAGTAAAGAGATATCAGAATAAAATAAGAAAATAATAGAATAAGAGAAGTAGATTCTATTATTGTGTGGTGTAGAACATGAGGACACATTGTCTACAAATATAAAAATGACTGGTGCCATATAATTTATCTGATCTTTTTGGGGGACAATCTAATAAACACATGTGACTTCTTTTAGTCTGATATCTGGGTATTGGGTATCAACAAGAAGATAACCATTGACAACAGACAGATACTGCTTTTGTATGTAGATGCTTCTCAATAGCCCTGCCTAGAGTAACTTACAAAAGCACATTTCTGCATGTCTACAGACCACATGTTTTCAGACTGACTACTCTCCGTAATATATATATTTGTGTGTACGATATATATACACATATGTATATATATCGTAGGACTTTCTGTCACTTTTTTAAAAAGATTTAACTTTGGGGGCCAACAGGTGGCATGGTGGTCAAGGTGCTGGACTCCCACATGGCTGGCCACAGTTCTAGTCCCAGATCTGGCAGCTTTCTGTTTCCTTTTCTCTCTCTCTCTCTCTCTCTGCTCTCTGTCTCCCTCTGGTGAGCACATGTGCCCTATTGAAAAAATTTTCAAAATAATAATAATAAAATGGGACCAGCAGTGAGCATCATGGCTATGTCACTGGACTCCCATGTAGTCTACTGTGGTCCAAGTTCCGGACCTGGTGGCTTAACCTTATGCCAGGCACGTGTGTGTGCGTGTGTGCCCAAGATCCCGAGAGGAGAATGGAAGAGAAGGGATTGTGGTGTGGCCATCCCCCTGGGAGGTGATTTCTTGCTTTCTCTCTCTTTGTCTCTGTCTGGCGAGCACACACACCCTATAGCAAAAAACCTCTCCAAAAAAATAAATATTTTAGAAAAAGAAAGATTTAATTTTACTTATTATTCTTTTAATTTGGTATAGGGCATGTGTACTCACCAGAGAGAGAGAAAGCAAGCCACCAGGTCCAGGAATCGAATCACAGTTGACCATGTGGGAGTCCAGCGCCTTAACCACCATGCAGCTGCTGGCCCCTATTCGTCACTGTTAAGAGTCAGTATTTCCACCAGGTGTTTAGACTGGTAGTTCACATCATTGGCTGATTCAGCTCTAGCACTTGTGTCATCTCTAGAAGTATTTCCAGACCTACCTTCGGCATGATCTCCTGGGGTTTTCCCAGCTCAAACTTTAGCATTTTCACTTTCCTAAAGAACACATGATGAGGAAAAATAGACCAGAGAGACTGTCTTTTTCAATGCTCTCTGGGCTTTTCATTTAGCCCACATAAATCCTTATGTAAGACAATCTATTGTTGTCTCTTTACAGGTGAAAGAGTGCTTTGGGTTACATATACAGCTTGCTAGTGGCAAAGTCTGTACTTAAGCATTCTGTGTCCAAGCTTTAGGCTTTTCCCCTACACCCTCTTAGCTAACGCCTAGAGTTTTCTTGTTTTTTAAATTACTGATTTAATTTTATTAAATTTATTTAAATTCGCTGTAGAATACAAGCACTCACCAGAGAGACAGAGGGAAAGTGAAAAAGCAAGCTGCCAGGTCCAGGACTCAAACCAGTCAACCATGTGGTATCCAGTGCCCCAACCATGTCACCTGATATCCCCTCCTAGTATATTCTTTTTTTTTTTTCAAAGAACTATTTTAACTTTCTTTTTAATTTGACCAGAGAGAGAGTGAGAATGAGAGAGCAAGCCATCAGGTCCAGGACTTGAACCACAGTCAGCCATGTGGGAGTCTAGTGCCCTTAACCACCACACCACCTGCCAGCCTCCCTCCTAGGATATTCTTAACAGTAGCAAGCACCTTTGAAACAATGACTTATCTCCAACTGAGCACTGGGACTGGGTAGATTTACAAGTTACTACCAAACCTTTGAAAGTATAGTAAGTCTCAGAAGCTTAGCTGAGACTCAGCACTGTAAATGCAAAAGGTCTGTTTTATTCACCACTGTACCCCATCTCTAGCATAGCGCTTGTACAAATCTGTTATGTAACTATAAAGGGAATATTTCATTAGAGAACTTTTGAGTAATTTTCAAAGAAAGATAAAGCTTTAATTATAAAGGATGAAAATATTTCTGGAACTATTTTGAGAGAGTCCTTTGAATACAGAAGAGAAAATTTACCTTTATTTTATAAAAAACACTTTTTATTTCCTAAGAGGATACGACCTCATATTTAGCAACTAATAAAATATGTGATATATAATTAGTATCTAAAACATAGACAGCCAATATCTTGATGTACATGAAGACAGAGACAGACATCAGGAGACAAACATACATATCCCACACAACTAAAAGGACCTGGGCTTTACTTACAAAATGCTTATCTGGGGAACCAGCAGTTAGCGTAATGGCTATGTCGCTGGATTCCCACATAGTCGACCGTGGTTCGCGTCCCGGACCTGGTGGCTTAAATCTCACACCGGGCACGTGTGCGTGTGTGCCCAAGATCCTGAGAGGAGAATGGAGGAGAAGGGATTATGGCGTGACCATCCCCCCTGGGGGGTGATTTCTCGCTTTCTGTCTCTCTGTCCCTCTCTGTCTGTCTGGCAAGCACACATGCCCTATAGTGAAATACCTCTCCAAAAAAAAAAAAAAAATGCTTATCTGGAAAAGGGGTTAGAATTTAAGAAATGTTTTGCTGATAAAAAAAAAAAAAAAAAAAAAAAAAAAAAAAAAAAAGATCTAACAAAACCAGTATGTTAAAACATACTGATTTACGGGACTAGCAATTGGAGTAATGGCTATGTCGCTGGATTTCCATGTAGTCGACCACGGCTCAAGTCCCGGACCTGGTGGCTTAAACTCACACTGGGTGCGTGTGCGTGTGTGCCCAAGATCCTAAGAGGAGAATGGAGAAGGGATAGCGGTGTGGCCATGCCCCCGGGAGGGGGGGGTGATTTCTCAATTTCTGTCTCTGTCTCTTTCTGGCTAGCACATGTGCCCTATGGCAAAAAAAAAAACTCTCAAAAAAAAAAATATACTGATTTACAAAGCCAAAATATCTCCCACTTTTTATTATTGTATACCTAAATGAGGTTAATATTTAATAAAAATATTAAAGTTCTATCATGTAAAAAAAGGAATTCAGCTGCTCAAGTACTAGATACAACTTCATATTATTTAAGTCTAATCCCAGAATCATGGATTGACTTTTCTTCTAATAAAGTTTATCAACTACTCCGGAAGGCTATTAACAGTAGAGATATTATCACTGGACATATCTATGTCATTTGTTTCTCCTACTGTTTTCACAGTACAGTATAAAACGCCAAAACCATTATTTTATGACCCTGATTTTAATTTAAGCTAATATTAGTACCTTAAAAAATAAAGCTCTAGATAGAAAGTTGATGGTTTAAGGCTCAGTAAACGGTAACCAAACATCAGGTTTTTCCTCGTGAAGACAATATGCAAGTCAGAGTTGTGTAAGCTTGCTTCTTTCTGTCCAACGTTTCTCCAGTAAGAAAACTCCAAAGAGATAAGAAAGGATGGTAAATGGCCTCCAGATGTTACGTTTTTGTTTTTTAAGTCAAAAACGTTTGAAAATAAATCTTTAGTTCTTGCAGATTAGAACAAATTCTCAAAAATTCACATGTTCTTCAAAAAATTTCAACTGACGAGCTTTCACACTGTAAGTTGCATACTTCTCACCCATGTGCTCCCGCAAATGTTCCTATTTGGGAAATAAATACAAAGAAAATCACTGAAGTACGAAAAAATATATCTGTAATTTTAGAAGATATGCTTTTCTAAACACATACAGGAAACCATACAGGAAAATGTTAATAGTTCTGTTTACATAAACATCTATAAGACTTTTTAGGAAGTCATAAGAAATTAAAGAATAAACAATAAAGTGAAAATATTTGCAACATCCATGCCAAAGGATTAATAATAATATGTAAAGGGTTGTTAGAATCAATAAAGCCGAACAAGATTAGAATATTAGAATTGATAAAATCCTGATTTCTTCTTCAGCCGGGAAGAACATTGCTGTTGAGGCACAGTAACTGCCATGGCTTCCAGTGCTTTGGCGAAACCTCAGATGGGTGGCCTTCTGGCCAGGCATCTGCGATTTCATATTGTTGGAGCATTCATTGTATCCCTGAGTGTTGCAGCTTTCTATAAGTTTGCTGTGGCTGAACCAAGAAAGCATATGCAGATTTCTACAGAAATTATGAGTCCATGAAAGATTTTTCTTTTTTTTGGAGAGGTTATTTCGCTATAGGGCGTGTGTGCTCACCAGACAGACAGACAGAGACAGAGAGACAGAAAGCAAGAAATCACCCCCCAGGGGGGATGGTCACGCCGCAATCCCTTCTCCTCCATTCTCCTCTCAGGATCTTGGGCACGCACGCACACGCACCCGGCGTGAGTTTTAAGCCACCGGGTCCAGGACGCGAACCGCAGTCGACTACGTGGGAGTCCAGCGACATAGCCATTACGCTAACTGCTGGTTCCCTCCATGAAAGATTTTGAAGAATCACCCCCCAGGGGGGATGGTCACGCCGCAATCCCTTCTCCTCCATTCTCCTCTCAGGATCTTGGGCACGCACGCACACGCACCCGGCGTGAGTTTTAAGCCACCGGGTCCAGGACGCGAACCGCAGTCGACTACGTGGGAGTCCAGCGACATAGCCATTACGCTAACTGCTGGTTCCCTCCATGAAAGATTTTGAAGAGATAAGGAAGGCTGGTATCTTTTTTTTTTTTGGAGAGATTTTCACTGTAGGGCGCGTGCGCTCGCCAGACAGACAGAGAGAGACATAGAGACAGAAAGCGAGAAATCACCCCCCAGGCGGGATGGTCATGCCGCAATCCCTTCTCCTCCATTCTCCTCTCGGGATCTTGGGCACGCACGCACATGCACCCGGCGTGAGTTTTAAGCCACCGGGTCCGGGACACGAACCGCGGTCGACTACGTGGGAGTCCAGCGACATAGCCATTACGCTAACTGCTGGTTCCCTAAGGCTGGTATCTTTCAGAGTACAAAGTGATTTTGGAATGTAAAGAATGTCACTGGACTGGTGCCATGTTCCTGAAACATGAATACATGGGCTAAAGAATAGTTTCTCTTGATAAATAAATACTGTGGACAGTAAATAAATAAATAAATAAGAGAACTGATAAAATCTTATGGAGGAAATTAATTTATAAATTTGTATTAATGTAAATCCCACACATTTACAAAATAGCAATACAAATAAGCAATTAATATACATACGGTTCAACCTGACTAGTAATGAAAGAGATACTGTGTGACAATGTGTGTCTGTTGAAAGAAATGCTGGATACTGTATGTAGGGATCAGCAGGTGATGTGTCTGAGGTGCCAGATCCCACATGGCCAACTGTGGTTCAAGTCCCAGACCCAGTGCTTGTGTGTGTGTGTGTGTGAGTGTGTGTGTATGTGCCCAAAATCCGGAGGGGATAATAGAGAAGAAGAGATTGCAAAGTGGTTACCTGACCCCAGTAGGTGATTTCTCACTTTCCCTCCCTCTCTCTCTCTCTTTCTCTGTTCCTCTCTGGTCAAATTAAAATAAATAAAATTAAATAAAATAATCCTAGGGAAAAACAAAACAAAAACAAAAACACAACAGATATGCACCTCCTAATATAATGCACTGAGGACACCTCTAGGGTAGTCCTGCCAAAAATACATAACTTATGCTTAAACCAAGAAACAGTTTATAAAACACATGGCCTATACTCTTCAAAAATGTCAAAGTCATTAAAAACGAAAGACTAAGGAACTGTTCCAGATTGAAAGATATACAACAACTAAATATACAACAAAATATATAAAGGACCTTCAAAAAGTTCATAGAAAAATGAAATTGAAGTATGAGTTTAGTTAGGTGCAAAAAAAGTCTGAAATCCATGCATAATTTTTTTTTCTTTTCTTTTTTCGAGAGGTTTTCGTTATAGGGCGCGTGCGCTCGCCAGACAGACATAGAGACACATAGAGACAGAAAGCGAGAAATCACCCCCCAGGGCGGATGGTCGCCGCAATCCCTTCTCCTCCATTCTCCTCTCGGGATCTTGGGCACGCACGCACAGGTGCCCAGCGTGAGTTTTAAGCCAGCGGGCCCGGGACGCGAACCGCAGTCGACTACATGGGAGTCCAGCGATATAGCCATTACGCTAACTGCTGGTTCCCGATGCATAATTTTTCTATAATATTCGTTCTCCATGAACTCTTAAGGCTATCTCATAAAGTAACCCCAACTGGTTCCACATCCAGCATAAAATCTGTGAACTTGTCTTCAGTGAAGTTGGTGAAAATTACTTAAAAACTATTTTTTAAAAGAATTATTTACGGAGATGGGACCAGCAGGTGACATGGTGGTTGAGGCACTGGACACTCCTACATGGCCAACCACAGTACAAGTCCCAGACCTCGTGGCTTGCTTTTTCACTTCTCTCACCCCCCTCTCTCTCCCTTTGTGGTCAAAAATTAAAAAAAAAATAAAATAAAGAATAGAATCTAAAATACCCAGTTTACAATAAAAAGTTACAGACATGCAAAGAAACAGGACAGTACAATACATTCACTGGGGGGGAAAGCAAGCAAAAGAAACAGCTCAGAAAAAGAACTGCAGAGGGGCCAGCAGTTAGCATAATGGCTATGTTGCTGGACTCCCATGTAGTCGACCGCAGTTCGAGTCCTGGACCCGGTGGCTTAAACTCACGCGCGTGTGGTGTGTGCCTATGATCCTGAGAGCAGAATGGAGAAGGGATTGCAGCGTGGCCATCCTCCCTAGGGGGTGATTTCTCACTTTCTGTTTCTCTGTCTCTTCCTGTCTTTCTGGCGAGCACACGCCCCCTACAGCAAAAACCACTCCAAAAAAAGAAAAAAAAAAAAACTGCATTGGCAGATTCTGGTTTTTGTAACTATTATAGAACCCTGGTGTCTAGTGAAGGCTTGCAATATCCAGTGGAAGTCTCCAAAGGTAAATTGTGGTTAGTTTCAGCTCTTCGCACCCCAAGTCCAGTGGTAGGTAGCTGTGCACAAGTCCCTACAGCAACATATATGCAGCCTGCCCAATATGAACCCAGTCCTTCCCTGGCTGATTGTTGCTTCTCATCACTGCAGTGCCAACACAGAAGCAGGCTACCACTATTGCAACCTTCACTGTCACGTTGAAAATCCCCTTCCAGTTGAAGCAACTTCCTGGGGGAGTTAAAGGATTAATGTTCCTTTGTTTTCCCCCTCCATTTATTTTTTCCCTTTTGGGGGTCACCCACTTAAGGACATTTGACAGTAAACACATACACAGTGCAACCTAAAAAAAATCACTGTGGATGCCCAGGGAGAGGCACAGGCTCCATAAAGATATAAGAGGACCTTGAGTTTACACCTCAGGCTAATCACTGGCACAAACACATCCTAAGTACATAATAAGATTAAAATGTCCAGGTTTTAGAAAGAAAACATGAGATACAGAGCTGGCTCTGTAGCAAAGGTTAATTAAGCACTATACATTGAGAGCTGGAGGGATCTCGCATGGCTGACTGTGGTTCAAATAGAATACGGGCTCTGGCAGCTTGAAAAACAAACCAGGTGCATGTGCATGCATACGGAAGTCTTGATGGGAAGGAGGAACAGAGTAAAGGGATCATTGCAGTGTGACTACACTCCAGCTGGGGATGCTTTATCTCTCTCATTCTGGTGAGCACACACGCCAAATAAAAATAATAATAAAAACAAAGACAAACCAACAAACTGGGTAGTTTAAGTCCTGGACCTGGTGGCTTGAAAAATACGCCGGACGCAGGTGCATATGTGCCCAAAATCCCAAAAGGAGAAATGGAAGAGAAATGGAAAAGGGATTGTGGCATGACCATGTCCCATGAGTAGTGCTATCTCACCTTCTCTCTTTCTTTCTCTGGAGAGCAAATGTATCTTCTAGCAAAACCAACAAACTGGGTAGTTTAAGTCCTGGACCTGGTGGCTTGAAAAATACGCCGGACGCAGGTGCATATGTGCCCAAAATCCCAAAAGGAGAAATGGAAGAGAAATGGAAAAGGGATTGTGGCATGACCATGTCCCATGAGTAGTGCTATCTCACCTTCTCTCTTTCTTTCTCTGGAGAGCAAATGTATCTTCTAGCAAATATATATAATTCTATTTAGAAAAAAAGAAAAGGAAAAAAGAAGTCAACAGAAATCATTCCTAACATGAGATGGCAGACTTATTAAAAAATAATATGTGAGGGGCTGGCAGGTCGTGTTGTGGTTAGAGGTGCTGGATTCCCACATGGCCAACCATGGTTTGAGTCTCAGACCTAGTCCCTTGCTTTCTCCCTTTCTCTTTCTCTGTCTCTCTCTGGTCAAATTAAAAAATAATAACAACAAATGGAATTAAATATCATTTTAAAACAATATGTGAATGGGACCAGCAAGTGGCATGGTGGTTAAAGGCGCTGGACTCCCACATGGCCGACCACAGTTCAAGTCTTGGACCTGGTGGCTTGCTTTCTCACTTCCTCTCTCTCTCTCTGTGTCTCTTTGATCAAACTGGAAAATAAGGATAATAATAATAAATAAAGTCAAATAAAATAATTCTTAAAAAACAAAACAAAAATATGTGAATGACACTAAAGAAAAGACATTAAAAAAATTCTGGAGCTAAAAAGTATATCTGAAATGAAAATTCACTAGAGGGATTCCAAAAACAGATTGAAGCAAGCATAAAAAAAGAAACAATGAACTTAAAGATAGGATTATTGAAATGATCAAGTCTGAGCAACAAAAGAAAAAATGTTTAAGAAAAGTGAACAGAGGAGCCAGCAGATGGAGTAGTAGTTACATTTCTGGACTCCCACATGGCTGACCGTGGTTCGAGTCCCGTACCTGGCGGCATGAAACACACTGGGCACATGTGCATGCATGCCCAAAATCTTGAAAGGAGAATAGAGAAAAAGGAATTGCAGTGTGGCATCCCCCCTGGGGGGTGATTTCTCACTTTCTGTCTCTGTCTCTCCATCAAGCACATGTGCCCTGTAGCAAAAAATTTCTCTTAAAAATAAAAAAGCCATTCTTTTTTTTTTTTTTTTTTTTTTTAAAAAAATTTC